ATGTCACTGTCAGATAAGAAAAAAATTAGATATCTCCGTCACATATTTAACACGATGGATTGGTATCAGACAATTTACAATTTGGTGGTAAAGGCCCTTAGTCTTTTATAAATTCATTTAGAATCGAATTATGTTTTCTGTCATGCAATAAAATAAAATAAATATTACATCTTATTCACTAATTAAATGCATGAATGAAATAAATTTTATGCATATATCGGAAAACCTGTTTATGGAAATGGTAATAGCATAAAATGACTAACCTGATAACTCCAAGCCTGTATGCTTAATTCTATCTAAATATTTTTTTATTATACGCAGATTATGTAGCAATTTCTATTTACCTATTAATTACACAAAAGCAATACAAGACATGCGCAGTTCTAAGTGACTTATAAAATGAAAACTCGCTCGAAATGGGACGGAGCTTTGGGAAATTTCAAACGACAAAGGCGTTGCCCATTTCCACCGATCATTGTGTATGAACGTAATAGAAATATACCCGTGTCCCTTTCTAACAAAGACGCCGACGAGCGATGCGCAAAAGAGATAGGCATCACAATAGACAATTGTTATCCCCACCGTTTCTATTGTACTGCCCTAGTATAATTTTTCCATGCGAATTTCATCGAGCTTTCATATAAATGTGGAGCAATAAGGTTTATAATGCCGTGCTACGTCATGTGAAGGTATGCGGCCAATAATTTGATTCGGTCTACATCATTGGGAAAACAATGGGTAGTATTTTAGGTATAAATAGAACTACAGAATAGATAGAAAGTGGATTGGCGACGGATTTCGTAGGCGTTAGCTGTGCTCAGATATTTTCATAATTAAACACGACTTATTTTTTATACAAAATTCTAATTATTGCATAAAGTATTGTAGTAACTTTAATTAATGAAATATGAGGTTTTTTATTATAATGCGATTCAAAAATAGATTTTGAACTACACGACTTATGCTGAGTTGCTGAAGTTACCATTTATTTTGTTATTACCTAGTAATTCATTACTTACTTTTAACAAGTTTCAAAGGAGTAAAACTCAAGTGAGATAGTTCGGAAACGCGTTTCATGGTGTTATCAAATCAATAACACTAACAAATGGTTAAAAGTGGGAAACCGGCCATTAAAGGCTTGTTTATTAACAAAATAAAAAAAAATATTTAAAAATTTAACACATAAATATATTTTAGTAGCTTTCGCCCGCGACTCTAATTAAATTAAATTAAAAAAAAGTGAGTAGCCTATGTGTTTTTCCAGACTATTCTCTGCATCGACACCAAATTTCATCGAAATCCGTTCAGCCGTTTAGGCTAAAAACGCTAACAAACATCCATCCATCTAAACTTTTGCATTTATAATGTTATTTTTTTTTTTTATAACATAAGGTGGCAAACGAGCAAGCGGCCAACTGAAACCGCCAAAATGGCGAAGCGACCGCTGCCCATAGACATCCGCAATTGCAGATGCGTTGCCTACCCTTATAGGACGGAGGAGGAGACGCACATAAAGAGGATATTTCCCCTTCCTATGCATCTCCTCCACCGTCAAATCCACTTCCTCTTCCCAAACTCTCCTTATAAGAAAAGAGTGGTAAAGAGAAAGGGACTTAAATTAGGCCTCCGGCACCACACTCATCAGACGAAACACGGAATTGCTTCCATTTCACGCCTATCTTCTGTGTGGTCGTGGTATTACACCGGGCGTGCCGGCCCATTCGTGCTAAGATGTTAAAGCGGGCACTACCACTTTTTTGTTGTTAGTATGATAAGTAAAAGTATGTATTACAAATAAATATCAAAAAAATTACGTGTCTGTCAGTACCATGTTTATAAGATGAAAAAAAAAAATGCTCTACATTTGTGGCAACATCACATGGCGTTAATATGAAAGCTTTAACGAAACCCACCACGACACATCAGAGTGTCACTCATTGCCGTAACTTTTTAATATTCTTTCAAAGATTTTAACTTTATTTTAATAAAGTTATATATAAAAAACGTTGTCACCGTGTCCGTCGGTCCTTCAGTTTTCTTTCAGCAACTAATTGGTCTGACACCGGTAACCCTTGAACGTCGGGAAATACATATTTTTTTTTTTCATATGAGAGGATTTTTTTAAAAGGTGCCGGAGCTCGACACATGTACATTGCCGGACGATTTAAAACGAGCTACGTGTTCTGGAACACGCTGTTAGAACGCAACGAGCGACGCCAGAGTATTTTATCGTTTAAAAGAAATTCAAGTGAATATAGAAATTCATTACAACGATTATAATATTGCGCGTAATTTTTTTTAATGTTTTTTTAAAGAAGTGGCAATTAAGAATTAAAATTTCTGGTTAACAAATCACGTGTGTACAACAGAATGAGGTTACGAGTTATTGACTCTATTCACCTTTTTAGGAATGCTTCATTATTTATAATTAAATCTATACTAATATTATAAAGAGGAAAGATTTGGATTTTTTTATGTATTGAAATAACCTAAAAACTACTGAACCGATTTCGAATTTACTCAGTGATATCATAGGCTATGTTTTACTATTTTTTTAATTACACGCGGGCGAAGTCGAGAGCAAAAGCTAGTGTTTAATAAACTAAAGTCTAGCAAATACACGGCTTTGATTTATCCGAAATTCTTTATTTTTTAACTCAATTCGATATTTATACTACAGTTGAAAGTACATCTTAGATATGAACGATATCAAACGACATTAAACTTGGATTTTTACCTAAATGTCTGAATGTTCGTCTTAAATGTACAGTAGTTCAAAATGTTTTAAAATTAGTAGTTATACGTGGTTTTTTTCGTCTATGCGGACTGCATTATACCGTAACGAGTCCCTGCCTATCGTGTCACATCAAAAACAAAGCAAAAATGCCCACCCCGGTAATTTATTTGTCTTTAATTTTTAAAAATGGAACGCGGAAGCGGACCAATGAGACGCGTCCCCCGGCTGATTGTCAATTAGCGACATCAAACGGGCTTTTTGCGAATTAACCGGCGTTTGTGTTCATTTTTTGTCCGGCTGCCGTCGAGTGCGGACGTTTGATGCGTTTTTCCGTTTCGTCGTTTCATTTTCATATTTCCGTTTGTCTGGTTGTCTGGGGGGTGTGACGGGGAGGGAGGTTACAATGTGGGGTGTTTCACGTAGTTATCAACACTGCTCTCCATTTCGCGTTCTGATATTTAATTCGAATGAGTGCTCTTCCAGACGGATTAATATTATCCATATGGCTTTGAAAATTGCTCAATTCATACCATGCTTATTGTTGGATGTCTGCAATACAAATGTAAATTATGAAATCTGACTTTTTGTTTAAAGATCCTTTAAATATTATTACTTTCAAAGCTGTATTACATATCCTACAATAATTGTTGAGTTATAGAAAATCGTTATCCATTCACATATTTACAAGCAAAAGCTTTTTAATGCATTCTTCATTTGCTAAAGCAGCGCGGCTTACGACAACGTCTGACAACAAAAAAAAGAAAAACATAAAATCGTAGCAGTCGATAGACTACGCCTATACCGAATGGATCCGGAAGTCAACAAAGGGACGTTCTGTATTTGAAAAAAAAAAACGCGCGAATGCGAACGTGAGTCCGCCATTAGCCGCTCCCATTTGCAGCGCATCTATAGCGGCAGGCCTCTTCAATCTGCACCGTCAACAATCGCAGGGATGTTGCTATCTTTTACTACAAACGTAGGAAACGATTTTAACCTACGAACTCGTTCTTCAACATCTTTTGTCACTGATGAAGGTAGGTATGTGACACTTAAATCAATATCGTCTTATCTCTTATCGGAAAGAAGTTAAATTGTCTGGATTAATTCGAAAAATTACAGTCTTAGGATTGGATAAAGAATATATTGACTTTTTTACCGTTTAAGATACGCACTGATATGAAATTACAAAGAGATTGGACTAAGCAGGTAAGTACTTTTTTTTCATTCATTAAATATGAAAAGTGTTTAGAACTAGTGGTTTCTCCTCTTTCTTGTGATACTAAAAGTCGTTTAAAATTACAATTAACGTTCAATAAATCTCTTTCATTTTGTGAAAATCAATAAAAAAAAACATCAAATGATAACTCTGAAGTGGCAACCCTAACAGACGGCATGTGATCGAGTGTTGTTCGAGTTTTTATCGCTGATTCATTAGTATGAGAGTGTCTTTGTTGCAACCGGCGCCCTAGCGCAGCCTACCGCGCAGTATTCAACGTGAAAATTGATTCGAGATGAAAGACCGACAGCCCATTGTGCACCGCCAGTCAAATTATACACAAATTGCACGTCCGATGTACAAACAAACACTTCTACTACTTATCACCAATCAGATATAATTGCGTACTTCGTTGACACAACAACAAATCATTAGGGCCTCTTTGATTATTTTTAAAACATAATACAGTATTTTTGATGCAAGGTTTTTTTTCGTAGATGTCCATGCAATCACTTAACGAATTCTTAACGAATCTTGGAACACTGCAGAGGGTAGAGTTTACTTTTTCAACAGTAGCGATGCGAAACAAACCTAATTTACGGAAAGGGTGAACAAAAGTCTGGGTACGATGTAAATTAGAATTCCAAGTAAGTCACCTCCTTTGTAGGAAAGAAAGCTTTAACAAACTGTACAAATCCAACAAACAAGTCTGTTTGATACTCATTATAAATATCTATACTATTATAATATAATAAAGCGTAAACACACACTTCTTTGTTGCCTAAGATGTCAGCAATTACAGCATATTTTTGAACAATTCCTTTTTCAATAAAAAAACTTACGTCATGCTTTAGGCTATATACGAGTATTTTCACGCCATTAAACTTTGGGTGTAACTATTTTGGATAAAAACCGTAAGGTGCGGAAGAGACCATAAGTTGCTGCCAACATCAAGAAAGAAAGATTGCTAAGGTTTGTCATGTCATGTTATTTTGACACTTTCTATTAATTTGACAAATCTTTTAATTGATGACGTCATTAGCTTACCTTAGCATGTTCCTGCTGCGCTAGCAGCTGTTCCCGCACCATCTGCAGCTGCAGGATCATCTCGGACAGTTGGCGCTCCTTCTCCAGCACACTGTCCCCCGCTAGCGCCTGCAATGCCGCAGATTCAAGCACGCCTCGCCGCTCGCTGTAACAAAATATTATCTAATGTAATGCTGCAAGTACTGCTCAGATATATTGATAAGCTGGAAGTTAGTATACTGCTGTAGAATAAAGGGAACCCTGATAGTTTCAAGATGGTTAGTCGGTTTTAGGTAGATACAACTTTAAGGGCCTGTCCCACCAAATGGTAAATTGTCTGATAATAATTCAACGTGTAAAATATGTGATGGAAATATTGGATTTTGTTCCCTAGTCTGACCGTGACGTCATTTTTAAGCTATCTGACCCTCTATCTGCCAGTGGTGGGAAAGGCCCTAAGTGTACTATAAAGTATTGTAATCGTAAATCAGGCGAAATGATTGCAACTTCCAATTACATTGTGTAAAATTGCTGTTCGGCGGAAAAACAGAATTCGATTTGCTTTGTATCACTAAATTGAATGTATTGTAGCGTATTTCGTTACTCTTTTATTATTAATTGCTACGTCATTCGTTGTTTCATAGAAGGTTTATCATTGGTATAGTTACATCAAGTGTGAACGTTAGAGTAGGTGTCTCTTTGTTTTATTAACACGTGTCGACCACTAATTGGGATTTAGTGTGGATTGAATAGAGACGGTATCTAACCGCGTGTTACCTTCAATAGGGTTGTAAGGATCGATGCCATTGTACATATCAATTCGCTGAAACTGATTTTTGTTCGAATGTTTTCCAGTATTTTCGATTAACGCACGCACGGATATGATTTAAAGGGCCTTTTAAATCATTTCCGTGTTATGCATATGCACAAATACGACGGCTGGAAGCGACGGTTGCTGGATTTTGAATGAGGATTTTGCATTAACGATAATTTGCTTATGGATCGCACAGATCAAAAATGCACGTCATTTTTGTTGGATATAATTGGAAAAAAGATCAGCGTATTACATGAATGTATTCAGAATGATTCTTTTCATAGAAAACTTGGAATTGCACTATAGTTGGGATATCTGTTTGCATATTATTTTCATAAAGAATAATCTAGATTAATTTAACGCCTATACTTTTATTAAAAAAAAACCAGTTAAACATCGCAAATTTGCAAAAGAAACCTCAGTGAATGCACAAATACAGAGTGAAATTGCCAAGCGAAATTACACTACGCGCTGTCCATGACTGTTGTTAAATAATTCATGGCGACCCCGTTCTGAGGCAGCGGTGAACAGGTTGCAAACCCGACAAAGGAGGCTGTTACACCCCTCAACTATAATACCCTTATATCACAACATACTAGCTCTTTGTACTCGAAATTGCCTGTTATTATAAGATATTTTGCACGAAGAAATATTTTTAATATCGTACTAGGAACAGCTTACTGAGTAATTACTAATAACATCAACCGTGAAATAAAAATTACTGACAAATCTATAATAATATTATAAAGAGTGAAGTTATGTATTTTTGTATGTCTAATCTAAACTAAATTTTAATTTCTTTTTTTCAATGCAGAACTAAATTATCAATGAGTAGTAAATGCTATGTTTATTACTAGATTTTTTAAAATTACGCGCAGAAGAAGTCGCGTTATACAGCTACTATAAACTCAGTGGAGTAGTGATCATAATCATTAGCTTGTCTCTGTCTTTATGGAGGGTCGGCACAGCATCCTCTTTCATGCGTTTCTATCAGCCGTCATATCTGAATCACTTCTTATGCATATCTTTTACACAATTCATCCATACTTTAATAAGCAGACGTATGTGTCTGTCATATTTTGTAACAAGATTCTCTGTAGGCTTCTCCTTACCGGAACACATTCATATTCAAATATGCTTTACTTCATATGAGTAACATTGTTTGACATACAAACTCGTAGTGAGACATCATAAGATATTCCCGCAGCTTGTACGCCACAGACAAATGCATCGTAAGATGCGCTGAATTATTAATGTAGCGCCCGGACTTGCGACTCGGCGCTTCTCAGACGCTGTCATATAACTTATATCTCCACTTCTTAGGATAAAGACATAGATTTAAAAAATATATAGAGGAAGCAGACTTGAAAATTCACTTGAGACATTTTTCACATAATAGGGAGGTAGATAGGTCCTCAATGTCAGTGTATTTATTTGCATTAAAATTAATTACCAATAGGTGTTTTTAAATAAAATTTAAATGTTTGTTTTATTTTGTGACACTGTTTAGTTTATTATGGGCCTGTCCTACAAAATTGTAAATCGCCTGATAACAATCCAACGTGTAAAACGTGTGATGGAAATATCGGATTTTGAACCTTATCTGACAGTGACGTCATTTTTAAGCTATCAGCCAGTGATGGGACAGGCCCTAAATGTTTTACAACATGTCAATACAAGGACACTAGGTGGCGTTCTAAACTTGACAACTAACATAATACCTTTCAAAGAAGTTACCGGTGAAAAAATGTTGTTCCCTAAGTCTAGTCTATATGTTTCTTACGTCTTTAGATAAACGCAACGAGTTCTCATTTACAATGTGACTTTTAATACACTATATTACTCTGGTATTGCCTGTGAATTGTAATATTGTAAATTATTTCTGAAGGATTTTTTTTAAACCATCATTATTAACTCAAAATAATTTGTCTGACTTTACACTTACAGAGACGTAAATCTTTGAGAAGCAATATGAAACAAATCATATGTCAAAGGGCTTTTCATAATCAGTCAAGCTGTTAAGACCACAATTCTACGAAATTTAAGTTCCTTTTAATCGTGCAAACAACGTGTTGTCTTACATTCTCCAATAAAAAAATCGCTTCAGGCAATTTTAAATTATCTTTAACTCTGACCGAATGATTTCTCTGAAATATAATTGTTTCCACCTCATTTTACTCTAGATAATTTTAATCAGTTCAAACTGTAAAATAAATCGCACCGGTGACTTTCATATTTTACACTACTTAAATGTCCTGAGAAGACAAACATCATGTCTGCTTTCACCTGTCAAAGTAAAGGGCATCGACCAGTTCTCTACCAAACATAATGAGAGCTAATTAAATGTTATTCATGTCATAATTTCGTCTTATTTCTTCATTAGCATAATCATTTTTTGTGTAACACATCTTAAAGTACGTTTCCACTGCCACTTGTATTGAAACATTTTTGTCTCTTTCTTATCAAAGATAATGAGCAGGATGACACTACTTTTAAAGTGGGTAGAATCCCACAATTATAATTAACTGTTCGTAATTAATAAAAGTTCGAAAAACGAGTTCCACTTTCAAATACAAGCCTTCATTATAAAAATTACCTTAATGATGTTGAAAACGAAAAAATCTTTTTTTTTCGAAAATTACTTTACACTTGAATTCATACCAACGAAAAACTGAGACACACGAATCCTTAAATATCAGACAACAAAATGACACAGAATAAATCATTAGAGGTCTAAAAAATCCCTAACTTTTGACTGTGATTTCTGAGCGGAAAAAAATATTTTTTTTTAGCTCCGTGTTCTACCAGACTACATTCTACACCTGTGACGAATTTTACTGAGATCGGTTAAGGATTTCTGGTGGTTCGTAACAAACATCCATCCACGTAAACTGTTATACAATTATTCAAATGTAATTAAAATATTACATAATAAGTCAACATGTAGTTCAAAAGTACTTAGGGTTGTCTCTTTTAAGTTGCATTGCCTGAGGGAACGTAGTTTATTTTCCTGCTCACTGGGACGCCACTAACAATCTACCGTCTTGAGTTAAATGGACACACCTGTCTAACTATTCTCATACACTATCTAGTTTTATTTTCTTAAAATAGATGATACAATAGCAAGTATACTATTATATTACACTAATATCATAAATGCGGAAGTTTAGATGGATGTTTGTTAGAGTTTGTAGCCTAAACATCTAAACGTATTTTAATGAAATTTGGTACAGATGTAGAGGATAATCTGGAAGAACACATACGCTATTCACTTGTGATTTTTTTAATTCCACGCGAGCGGTGTCATTGACGAAAACTAGTAAAAAGTAATTCACTAGAATACGAGTAGTAAGATGCAAATGCCACTGTTCTGTTGTTTTGCTTTAAGCTGTCTCTCTCACTCTTTTGTTTTATATTAAATTAGTAACTCATTTAGTTAGTTAGTTACTGTCAATTCATTTTGTTAAAAACGTAAACACATTACAAATAACAGTTTAACAGAGTAACAATGATCATTAGGGTTGTCACGCTGTATTTGTACAACTGAGGGTAATATAAGGGACAGAATAAAAAGGTTATCCTCTCCACTAAAACAATACATTAGCTAGTAACTTCATCAGCCCCTTACAGGGGTGACTAATAGAGCAATCTACTATCGCTCGATGTTTCGATAGAATCGATTCGATTATTCCGATTCACGGATCACCGCTGCACTTACCTTCGCTTTAGTTAATTCCCTTTACGGTTTTAAAGTGTACAACTTTATTAAGTACATGTTTGAATAGTACTAACACTGCAGTACGTTGTTTGATCATAAGTTCTATAAACGTCTGTATTACAAAATAATATCTCATGACTATCTGAACCTAAATGGATAGACAGAGGTAACGTAACTAGGTACTTTTTTCTAACTTTGAAAGGATAATATGCATAAATATTTATTAAGTATTTACGTCCACTTTTTTGTATATATCTAAGATATTTATTGGTATCTCATTGTCAAAACTTTAGAAAAAATCGTAAATGTAAATAATTAAGTTTTTACTATGTTTTACATTAGAATAACGGTTTATACTAAGATTATTAGAATTTGCGATGCCCAAAAATAAGCTACACTATATTTCATAAGCTGTATCATTTTATTAGTGTAAATAAGTCACTATAAACAGAGTACCTGCTTATAACGTGATGGAAAACAAAAGGCAAGTGGCACGCATCGTGAATACAAAGAAATCTCTGAAGGGTTGCGTCTAGCGGGCGCTAGGCGCAAGGCGCGGGAGGGCGCAGGGCGCTGGGGTGACGTCATTAAAATGGATGTCGACAGGGGCGGCTGGCGCGATGAATTTTGACAT